TTTGAGAATTTGGTGTTAGATCTTGAAAGACAACAACTTCTTCCTGATATGTTTGAGTATTCTCGTTACCTGTTTGCTGGATAATGAATGGATATGATAGGGTGAAGTTACAGTTTTATCACTTCTGGGAGTTAAAGGATTAAATCTGGCTGTAACTTTTACTACAGACCTCAAACTCTGGTAGTAAGCAGTATATATTGCAAGATTTTAAAATCAAGATCTAGTGGTTCTAAATCAGTAGGTAAGGATTGTTTTATTGACTTAAATTTGATTGCAACTTGTAATTTTGTTGAGTCATGTTTGAGCACATTATGTAAAATTGCACCTTTCTAGTACCAGTTGAAAAAAAAAAAAGGCATTAGTGATCTTGTTTTTTTGCCAGTGTTAAAATACTTACAACATAAATAGTCTCTTTATCTACATTCCGTGGTTCAGGAACAGGAGTCTTTCGCCTGACCATTGAGTCATCACCACAGACCTAAAATCCATTAAAAATAAATAACAGAAAAAAACCTCAATTTCAGCAAGAATTTTTTTCCAATGATATCAAGAGCCCTTTCAAGAGGTATTTTCCTTTGGTTTGACCTCAATTCATTTTGTATCTGCTACAAATCACATTGAAAAATACTTTCAACAGTGCAAGCCTGCAATATTTTTTTAAAACAGTTTGTAAAACCAACCTCAAGCATTGAAGATGTTTTCATTGCTTTAACCACAAGGTTTAAATCATTTGTAATCTGTTTCATTCTGTTGAAACTGGCAATGGTTGAGATATTGACATCTGAAAGAAAACAATCATGAGAGGTTCTTAGAGAAGGGTAATAAGCCTCAACCAGCGTAGAGTCTCTGTGGCTCAGTGGTAGAGCATCAGAGTGCAGAATGTGAAGGTCTGAGGTTCAATTCCTCATGGAGACTCAGAAGTTTTTATTTGTCCCATGCTCGTGACAAGACAAAACACATTTTTCTTTTATTTACCTCACTTTATTATAACAATGCTTTAGGGTGCCAAACAACAACATTACCATTTCCTACAATAAACCTTAACAACTTTGGAGAAAACCAAAAGGATGGAGATTAGATGTTATCTGTAATTATAAGAAAACATGACTCTTTTAATTTAAACTTAAAACAAAATACTCACATCCTTCTGGGTGTTTATTTATCTCCTGTTTCATAAAACGGTCCTTTTGGAGGTTAGAATCTCCAAAGTAAAACTCAATCTGTTTATAAGCAAACAAATGTTTCACTTAGAGAGCATTGCACATAACCAGCTTAAGCACATTTTGAAGACAGTTTTCTTGCACTCAGATGATTTTGTGTAGTTTTTTGTAGGTGAACTATAACTTAATTTAAAAATAATTTAGTTTAATTCTCTTAAACAAGCTTGAGTTTGGCTTTTGAAAAATACCCAAATCAAAAAAATATATCAAATAGATGTTTTCTTTGTGATTCTTATAATGATAGTGTTTAACCTTGACCCCGAAGAGTGACCAGCATCCAATTTCTCCTTACATTATCCCCCTGAATCAAACCATTTAGGTCACAAGAATAGAGAAAATGA